AATTCTATAAAAAAGGAGTGCTGAAAAGTTGCAGTTTTACAGTAAGCAGGTTTTAGTACGAGAGTAGGGTTCTTAGAGCGAGATCGGCCATGTGTGACAAAAGTAACATACATATCAATATTTAAGTCGGTATGTCCAGAAATGCATTTATAGAGAAAGGTAAGATCTCTGAGTTCCCTGTCGTAAGTTAGTGGTAGTAAGCGAAGAGTCAACAGTCGTTGTTTACAGGACATCTCGCCAAACCTAGTTCTTAATATCCAGCGAGTTGCGCGCCTCTGGACTCTTTCTAAGATCGTTCTCAAATTAACACCAGCAGGAGACCATTCCTCTGTCGCATAAGAGAGCTGTGACTTCACGAGAGATAGATAAAGTGTTCGCCTGAATTTAATGTCTGTGATAAGTGGGAAAGTTCTCTTTAAAAGACCCGGTATTCTATTAGCTTTGAGTACAATTCTCATAACGTGCGAGTCCCACGATAGAGTGCTAGATATCTTAACACCAAGATCATTTTCTTCCTGAACGCGTTGTAAGATTACATTGCCAAGGTAATATTCATGGGTCACAGGTGTTTGCATTCGTGTTTTCTTTCGGTTCTGATTCACATCAATTGCGCTCAGTAATTGTGAACTTGGGGAGATAACTGCTCTCTTAAAAGCCTAAATTTTTGGGTGTGCATAATACCTTATGCCTGTTGGCATAAGGTATTATGTAGAGTTTAAACATGACATTTTAAAATTCATAAGACGGCTCACTGGCCTAGTACAAAGTTTTAAATTTTCCCAATTACGTCGTTGTCATAAGCAAAGCATTTTTCACAAAATTTCCCGGCCGGTCTCTGTTGCTCATTTTGATTTTTCTCATTTATCGCCGGCTCTTACCTAATAGGAGCCCATTACTATTTGATAGGAATTCTATGGAAAAAATCTACGCGCTAAAAATTGACGTTTTAAAGCGGCCCTACTGTTTTTGTGGTTCTCTTTAATGTGCAAGTTATATTTCACAAGCAAATGAGGACCTTGGTCTATCAAAAGACATTATTACTAAGTTTTCAGTAGTGCAGAGGCCAGTTATTTCTTTTTCTTCTTCAAGCTGAAGGGAGATCCTTGGCCATACTCTCCCTATCCCCCCCCCACCTTTCTCAAATGTTGACAATTGACATCCAAAACCTTCTATTAGAGAAATGCAGCTACTGTCACCGGTGCAATGCTAAGGTTATATTGCCTTATTTCTCTTTCTATATATCTTAGGATATATTTTCTTTATTCATATTTCACATTTCGAAACTTTCCGTTAGTTTGGTGTCCTAGATTGTTTTTCACTGCATGTAAGCTTGGATTTGACACTTATTACAGCATTCACTCTTTAATTGTTAGTTTATCTCTTTGCATTCTATGTCACTTAACCCTGGCTACACTCCTGTCAAGAACTGGAATAGAGCTAAGAAGGTGTAGCTTTAACAATGGCCCACATTCGTTACGCTTGGACGTGAGTCAGGAAAGCTGGGTCGAATACACAAAGTTGAGGCTTAGAGACACATGTAAACTTCCTAGGAGGAGTATTATAGGTCAAGTAACTCAGAGACAGGACTAATCATGTAATTTTCAAGCAGACCTCTAGCGAAGTTAAAACAATAACTCAATGCAGGAGCCCATTGGGTAATGGGCACCTTCTCAATGCTGCCACTTCTAATCGTTACAGAAAAAGCACATAAACACACAATCACGCCACAGTTTTGAGACCCACTCTCGTGGAGCAAGTCCAAGAGAACCTAACCTCAACCTGTGGTTGATAGTCTTGTCCCTGTGGACCCTGTTAATGGCTAGCATGACAGTGCCCCTTTCTTTGTCTTGAGCCACCTGACCCGATGATGAGGGGAGTCAAACCGAAGCTCGCGGGGCAATCAAAAGCGGTGGATTACATAACCTACTGACCCAATCTCCTCCCATGGAATTGGACCAGGAGACCCAAAATGCACATTGGCTTAAAGCCCTGTCCCCATAGAGTTGGTGATTGCCACCTTGACGGTGCTCCCCCTCCCCACCTTAAAATAATTTGTCATCTGTCAGAGCTCTTCTGTTTTCCTATCCTACACCAGTATTTCTCTGGATTCCAGGCATTAGCCAAATGCTTAAGCTAACTGGCCCTTAGGGAGGGTATTTTTTTTACTTTGGACGCCAGGAAACCCAGTTTTCTGATATCCAGCTAGACATGAATTGCTAGTACATCTACCACACAAGTTAGTAGTGCTTTTCATGCGCGCTGATTGGTTGGTTCGGAAATGATCACCAGACTTTTTCACCTCTGAGCAGCCGGAGAAACAAAATTGCTCATCAAGAGTTTTATTTGCGACTATGTTCTGGTATTGATAGCAATTATCTAGTTCCTCTGGTTCTTGTGTGGTATACACTACTACAATCATGTACCTCGGTGTTTGTGAAAGTTTTAGCGAGCCGCGGCTATGCACCTCCACTTCGGTATGTAATTACACACCGAAGTGGAGGTGGATAGTTAAATTTACAACGAGAGAGTAGAAAAACAAACTCTAAGCATTATAATTAACAATTATTCCACGAGCGCGCGTTGGATATGAGATAATAGATAGCCAACGAGGCGCGTAGGGCCGAGTTGGCTATAATCATCTCATATCCAACAAACGCGAGTGGAATAACTGTTTTATTAAAAACGTTAAATTACATTATTTAAATTTATTCAATGTATTAGCTCCCTTTTAACTTTAAGCTGACGCGTACGCTTACCATATTTGTAGATTATGGTATATTGGCTCATATACCATAATGGCTACGCCTATAAAAAGTCTTGAATTGCATTATCCAATGATCCAGTTTTTAATAATACATATTAACCCATCCACACCAAAGCCAAAAAAATGTTTTAAAGCTGTTTTGTTAAACACGGTTTAAAATTCATTTTCTTCATAGAAGCCACTCGAACCGATGTTCGACGACGTCAAATTTAGCACATTTCAAATACAAGTTAGAGATTATTTGAACCCTATGAAAAATTCAATTTTCCAGTTCAGTTAAACCTGATTACCGTAAATCCTCTGAGAAGTGCCCCCGTGGGCTTTTTTATTTTAGGTACTTTGGGGGGTGGGTCGCTTATTAGAGGGCGGGGGGGCTCATTAATTTAAAGTGGAGAAACTGAAGCACATGAAGCTGGAAGTCAAGCAGCCGACAATAAAGAACTCAATTTTATGATCTAACCTTCTCAATGCACCTTGTTTGGCCATGTTGTATTTTTAGTATCGCTCTGTAATTTCCGCATGCCATATTCTACTGATGCCAACATGATAACATCAATCAGTCAATCAATCACCATAATCAAAATTTAGTACTTGAATGAATTTATCGTACTTACTGACATGGAGTGTTATTTTGAATTTTTGTTTTTTGAGAGAGAGGGGTGGGGGGGGGCTTAGTAAATTTCTTCCTCTAAAGAGGGGGGGGGCTTCTTAAAGGATTTATGGTAAGTCAAACGTGTTTTTATTTTACGAATGGGGTATGTGATATACTAGTGTCACACTTTTTTTGACTGAAAATCTCCTATTCATTGTCGTTCCTATGTTGGTCATACTGCAGTTTCATTTGTCCTACTTCAGCAACAAGAGCTCATTTTCTTTTTTCAGAGGCAAATTTACGAATACAACAGATTTCCAAGGTTTTTTTATTATATTTTCAGCATTTTGTCGAGGACATTTGGCTGAAGGCTGTTTTTACATCATTCGTATTACCTACATAATCTATTCAATTTTAGGAGAAATAATCTCGTAGACAGATCTTTTCTCTGTAGTCTCTTAATTCCCTCAATTCTCCATCCACAAAGGTTGGAGTTATCTATGCTACTTTAAAATGCAGCTTATTTTGCACGCATATTACCTTGTATTGCATTTGCGTTTCGTCTGTTTTATAAAAACCAGCGTTATTGGTTTTCGCTTTGAACAACTAAAATGTACATGTACGTTTTTGAGAATGATCATAACAGCATGATCTTATCACAGTGTACTAATATACTTAATATTCCGTAACTTGAACATAGAATAGATCGGTTCAAAGAACCTTAGAGGAAACTAAACATTAGTGTGTAGTCATCATGTGATTTTAAATTAACACCCTGCGCCAACTGGCACTGACTGGTTGTATGCATATTAATTTCCAGAGCGACGAGAAGCGCATAGCGTTAACAGTCAAGGCCGGTTTGTTCAAAAAATGATTAGGCTAACCCAGGACTAGAGAAAGTGTAATACAATTCACTGACTTTGATGACAGTTTAAACGTGTTTATTCTGTTTCCGTTGGTTTTTCGTCATAGTCAGACAGACCTTCTCAAATTGTTAGCACAACCAAACGTTTTTATGCATCAAAGCAAATTTAATCTTGGATAAGCACTAAACGCCTTTCGAAAAACCGGCCCAAAGATCCAAGTAATGGTGACTAAACAAGGGATATTCCTAGGGTCTACAACACAGAAGATACAGATTTTAGACATTACACCCCATTCACACCAGCACAACATGTTTAGCTAAATCAGGTTTAACTGAGTGAAAAACAGAAAGAGAGAACTGTAAAACTGAGTTTTCCATAGCTTTCAAAGAGTCACTAACGTTCACTTTATGGTTTATGCAGCCTTAATGAAGAAAACAATTTTAAACCGTGTTTAACGAAACAGCTAGAAAATATGTTAAGCTTTGGTGTGAATGGGTGGTTACAAAGGTAAGGATCTTTGGTAAGATACAACGAAAAAGTTACAAATTATAGACTTTGGATAATAAGCTAACGACTACAGAATTAATTTGAATATATCAACAAAGTTGAAATGGTAAATTGGCCACCGTTACGATTATAAAAGCTGACGTTTCGAGCGTTAGCCCTTCGTCATTCGCTCCGACGAAGGGCTAACGCTCGAAACGTCAGCTTTTATAATCGTAACGGTAGCCAATTTGCCATTTCAACTTTGTTGATATATTCAAATTATTTCGTTACCCCCACCGACGCAGCCCCAAACAGTTTCTTTAGAAATTATCAGCCTTTATTCATTTGACTACAGAATTACATCTCTATAATCGTCCTCAACTTTTTCTTGAGCCTTAGACTTCGTCTTCCACTGGTTAACGTTTTAAAATTATAAATATATATTACGTTATTGTTAGGGTAAATGATAAAGTCTCTTTTGTTTGGCTTAGTGTCGCATCCTCGCCAAGCTGACGTTTGCTCCTGAAACCGTGTTTGAAATCTAGTCTTACCGCGTTTTAGGATTATAAAATGAAACCTTTACCACCTACGACAATTATCTTCAGATGTACTAAAGGCCGTCCTACTGTAAACAACTAGTCTGCACACCCATCAAATGGCGGGAAACAACCCACGTTACGCAAAAAGCTTCTACTCTGGGTATTGTAGTGACCCGAATTTTGGGTCAATATTGGAAAGCGGCCAGGTAGCTAAGCAATAGTTAAGATAGCGGCGTCCCTGACCGCTTTTCTAGCATATTTCAAGTTTAGGTTACCCATTAAAGTCTCAAATAGCTTCAGTGTCAAAATTTCATGGTTTCTGGAGCATACTTTTGCTTTAAATGAAGGTTTTAGGGGCAGAATACTCATGAAGTTTATTTCCTACCAAGAGCAATAAATAAATATACAAAAGCTCCTGTACGGTGTTTTTCGATGTTAATAATGGACACTAAAAAAACCTCAATCCATTTTCGCCTTATTAGTTAAAAATTCAGCTGTACAAGACCTAAGATTGGGAAGAAAAACAATCGAACTGGTTGCTTATAATCTAACCCTTTTTTTCCCCCAAGTATCTGATAAAGTGAGATGTATTGTTTTCTGTGGTCCTCCACCTAAAGGCTTTCTTTTGATGAAGCGGAATCTCTGCTCACAACTACTTGATATGCCATTGCACTCGTGCAAACTCCGACACTCAGCTAAATGCATTTTTTTCACCGTCATGAATTTTATGAATTTGGTACTCTTGGGAGCGAAAAAGTAAAGGAAGAAAACGTGCTCTATATGAATTTACATTGTAAATGCAGCGAAATTCAAAAGAAAATTTTGTCTCATTGGAATTAAATTAAAAGGACATAAAATGTGCCTACTTTATGCTCTCTTTAAAAAGCTTTTAAAATTTTACAATTACTTGATATCTATTTCTGCATTATGATGAATTTAATCAGAATGCGCAAATCAGTGTATACACAACAGAAACTCGTCTGTTTTTGGCGCAGTCAGTTTTCGGTGCAGGCGAAATTCACCGCCTTAATTGCAATGTAACTAATAATCATCCTATAATCGTCTTTTGTTGATATTCAAGTGAAAACTTTCCTAAGGAGGTCTTAAGGTGAACTTAATCTTACCTGTAAGTCTTTGTCACAATTGCAAAAGTGAAAATGGTTCCCTATTAAAAAGAATTCGCACTTTAAACCTAAGTTAAGTTCGCCCTTTATCCCTAAAATATCTAATAGAACTGGTAGGCCTACTACTTAACTGTACAGCCGTTGGTTGTAATGGCGGCACGGCCGTTGTTGTAGTGTTTACTTTAGCTGAGGCTGTTCGGGTATTAAACTTCAGCCATCGCTTGAATTCTCTCCACTTCTTCATCGAGACATAGATCTTCTCTACCTGCTGCTTTCTACGATATAAATCTATTCCTTTGCCACCTCTTTTCCTGAGCTTTCTCCCCGCTCTGTAGAGCCTGATATTTGATGCCCGCTCTATGAACTGCACGGCCTTGACTCCCCCTTTTACTGTGCTGATTACCGCTCTCGGCCGTCCCCTTCTGCTGAACGCGATAAGGCTCTTGTTATACTTTACAGAGGTGAATTCGGTGTAAGCGTTATCAGCAACACGGTCTGTGAATTCGCAATTACCCCTCCATTTACCTCGTTTCTGTTGAGGGATATTCAATAATTAATTGCCGTCATTTTTTGTTGAGTATTATAGAACTCTCTATGTGAAGAGTAGCTGGTCTTTAGGGAAGCCTTTAGGCCACCAGTAGCTGCCCTCCCCCCTCCCCTCCCTCAAAAAGTACAAGTTCCGCCTTTTATAACAAAAAAAAAAAAAAAAAAAAACAAAAAAAAAAAAAAAAACTGCACGGAGGATGGGGTTTGATTTGAAGAAACAATTAAGTGCCTCCCAGAGGAGTTGAAAACAATGGGTCTGACTTGCACGGAGACCAGCTAAGTTAGTAGATTGCAGTACGTGTCTAGGACCGTAAAACGTTTCACATGTAAAGTTTAAGAGCAGAATAATCATTGCCGAGTCATCAATAAGAAGTGTCTAGTTTACTATTAAGACTACTTCAGTCATAAGTAGACATAGCATAATTTTCCATGCAATTGATCCAGTCGTTGGCAAGTTTTTAAAACAAAATAGTAGCTTGCATAACACGAGAAGAAGGTCAATGGCCATCAAGGCAACATGGTCATCCAATTTTAGAAAAGAAAAATCAAATAATACATGCAAACTTGCATCAAATGTACCGGTTGTCTGTCTGAAAGTGTTTACCTTGTTAAAGTTCTCGAAATAATTTTGTTTTCATTGAAGTAACCTTAGAAACATAACAGAATGAGACAGGTAATGACAAGAGCCGTTGTTTGCGTGGTGGAACTAGGAGTATGCCTCCCTCGTAGTAAGGTAAGTAGTCGGTCAACTAGCCACTTCCTCAGTTGAAGCCACCCAAAAATTCTATCATAATTTCATAGTAGGTTACCAGTTTTAGGCGAAAAAATTATTTTGCATTGTGCTATTTCCTCTGAGTGGTAAACAGTCATCCTTAGCAAACCCTCCCACGCATTCCCAACTAAAGCAAGATGGGCGGCATCATAAGACACATCAGAAAGATTAACTTGTACAGTGCGGAAGATATTGCGGTACAGACCATAGTTAACCTCTATTAACTATGTACAGACACAACGCGTTTGAACTTACCGTGCGGTTCTTTCATTGCATTGTGCCAAGCAGCGGGCTAATTTGAATGCGCTGGTTTTCTGTCCTAGTGCGGTTATATCTTCATGCTGTTTATGTGGGCAAACGCGCCAAATGTCAAACTGATATCGTCTGTGTCACGTCGTGTTTGTGTATAAGGTGCACGAATTTGTTCAAAGCTAGAGCTTTCGACATGTTCTCTGAAAACTTGTCCGTGTCATACGTGGTTTCAGGAGGTTCATTCTTTTGAAGTGAATAAATGAATAGCATGCTTGCCCATATTGAAGTTAACGTGAAGTTTAGATGCCTTGAAAACTCAAGGAAACTGTCTAGCTTGATAACGAAGAATGATAAAAGACAATGAAAATAGCTACAGAACTTTGCCTGGGTCCTATCAGTTTTAAAAGCTGTGGTTATTATTTATTACGGTCCACTATCCTACAAAAAAAAGACTTTCAAACACGGCTAAGAAGGGAACTAGCGCCGGTCAAGTCTTCTAAAGACTATGCTGTGCTGGTGAATATAACATGCTAAGACGATTTCAGGAGACATTTTATCTTACTGATTGAGTGATTTTCCTTCTTCGCCTCATTTCTGACAGTCTGAGAGTACATATCCGATTTTGGCTTTAAGTAATCTACTAGCAAATTCCATTGGGCTCACTAGTAGCACTACTTAGTAAACTCATCAAAAATCTTCTTATTTCTACAGTGATTTTATCCTAGGCAATTTTTAGAAAATTCTTCCAAGACTTGAGTAAATGTTCAACACTTGCCGCTGTAAAATACTTTGCTTAAAGAAATCCAGTCACCTAATCTTTATTGGATACTTCAATTAAGCTAAAATTAATCAAGGCCTTATCGGAGAGACGATCGGATAAAGTGAGGGCTTTAAAACACAAGGCACGCATTTAGTCAATGTGAAGACAAATTGCAAGGCAGGGATGACGTTGCACAGATGATATTCATCAAGATAAAATTGTGTACGAGTTCTCGAGCATTCGCCCACATGCGTCACCAGGGTTTTATTTAAAGCGTGAGTATATTAAGGTGTTAGCACGATAACATTCCATTTTCAAACCCTACAGTCAGTAAATAGGCGTGCACCTATCCGGCATATATAACATTCTTTGCAAAAGTGTCACTAAGGCTGCAAAACCGCATGTGACCAACAGTTGGTAGTCTTCAAAAGGTGTTACACGGCACCCTTTGGTGAGATCAACACATTAAACGTCTCATACAGAAAGTGTTACCGACTTAACACGTAAGCTGAAGTGGTTTACAAAGCTCATCAAAGCATTACGGTATTTTTTAACTAATCAGTTTTCTCTTGAACGATTTTGAAAGACGCACGCGTGGAGGAAGGAAATCATGATGAAAAGTACTACCGATTTTTCTTGTAATTAATTAAGTAAATTATTTTTAGTCAGGGAGGGTCGTGACAGTCAATAAAAAGGAACCTCCTTTGTCTCTCTATTCTACAAAAGTTTTAACCAAAAGTAGATAAACATTTTTCAAAATGTAAAAGTCCACCAGCTGTTTCCAAGAGACAAATTCTTTGAAGAGAACTTCTTTTGTTGTAAGGAAAACTATGACTTTTTTTTTCGTAAAAAAGAAAAACATGAAACAAAAATAGTCTTAATCACATAACTACAATAGCTATTATAAGCTGGTTCCGGTTCTAAGTAAAGTTGTAAGCAAATATGACAATCAAGGTTGTTGCCGCCCGCGCGACTGTTACCGAGGCCTTTTTATCACTGTTAATACTTTTTTCACTTACCCTGGCCCTTAGTCGTCCTTTCTTGTCTACACAGAGATAGAAGTCAGTAACGGAGCCTCGAATACGCACTCGTCCAAAATTGACTGATTCGATGACCAATTTGGCTGCAATGAAAGCATTGAACACGTTTTAGGAAGGCTAGCAAAACGCACGAGAGGGAAGCGTTTATTCGAACTTAGCTAGTGACAAAGACACCGTAGGCAGGTAGAATTACCTGTAGTGTGGGTTAATGCAGAAATTTTTGTGTGTTTGTAAAGAAAAGAGATGGCTTGTAAAACTGCCAGAAGCACTTTAAAAATAAAATGTTCGACTATATTAATATTCTATGGCTACTTTTACTTACAACTGAAATACTACTTAAGATAGTTTCAGTATATTTAGACGTGATCGATTAACATCTATGATCGATGACTGTCTCAGAGGTTTTATTTTATTTTTAACCAGCACAGGCGACATTTTCATTAATGTGGGGTGACTTGAATACCGGATGCATTTAAGTCTCAAGAATTTTCAAAATAGTTGTAAAAAGTTTTTGAACTCTCAGGGAGATCACACAGTGTATACATCAAATTGCGGTTTTCTGAAGTTCTGCCCCCTCGTACCGCAACAAAACAATATGGCAGCTATGCAAACCCTACCATCCATCCTCTTTGTTGTTTACTTTACCGATGAAAGGTTCAAATTAGAATGTTACCGTCGATAATTCGCGACTGTCGAACGTGTTAAAATAAAAGTCATGTATCTGATCGAGTGGGTAACTTTTGAGGCGAAGCTGGGATATGTTTTCTCTGTTTGTTTTTGTCGCCAGACAAACGGTCGCTTGGTAGTAATTATAATGCAATGGCAGTAATTATAAAACGCGCCTTCGTGTGATGCGACTCTTTGTTACCTGTCGCGAAATCTCTTTCATACAATTAACGAAAAGAGGATTAAGTATTTGAAAACGGGTTCTCAAAACGCAACAATAAACCTACCACGGCGATTCGTTGGTCTGTCAACTTTAAACGCACTTCAAGGAGGTTGGTAAATCAAAAATAATTTTTTTCAGCGGGAAGTTGCAGTTTTGGAGGTTTTCCTTTGCAGATGGGTTCGCCCAATTATTCACTAATTCTTGGACTTCTTTTCCTTTCACACTTATGTAAACAAAGCTCTCATAGCTTGGCAATCAAATAAGTTTGTGTCAAACATTATTGAAACTCTTGAATTCTTGACGAGGTACTGTGGAAAGGAGTAACCCGATGTCAAAAGGGTGACGAGACTTAATCACGCACTTTTGGCTTGTCTGTCCAAAGGACAAGTCGTCTTGTTGCCAAGGTTTAAAATAACCTCAGTCTTTAATTTGGCTTTTCTTTCAAAGAACCTGCATTTGTACTAATAATAGCTACAATTAACCTTTCTGCCTTCAAAATACCCAATATTACCGAAAAGAATGCCAAAAATTTACAATTTTCTTAAACTATTGACAAGCATTTGTTCATAGTTTTGATTTTCGCTGCGTTCACTCGCTTAAACTTAACCAAAAGTTAGAGAAAGAAACGAATAACAAAGCCTTCTTGTAATTTCATAACACAGAGCTCGAAAGGAAAACTATTTCATGTCTATGTCATGCGCTCATGCTTTGGTAAACAGAAAAGAGCAAAGTCCCGTCTTAACTTCGCACGTAAAATTTTCCTGAAAAATGCTCCAAAGATAATTACAAATATTCCCCCCAAAACAGACCTGGTACAAAACAGTTCAGCTCGTTTCATAGTTGGGGAAAAAATTAAATGTGCAAGAAGAGAAGTGTAAGAGCGACATTCTTACCGTTAAAACATGTCAAGTTGAGAAACAAAAGTGTAAGAGACCGCTTTCACAATAAGCATTAAGCTTAAGGCAACAGACAAGTAATAACCGCTAGAATAAACAATTTTTTTATAATATTAATTATACAGTAACAAAGCACTTTACGAGTTAGTACCGTATTTGTCGCCGTCTTCACCGATGGCGTCTATACTTCTATTTGGATTGATTCTAACATGGCGGCCGCTATTCCTTGAGTACAACTGAATGAATCTCCGAAAAGCTATGCTTTTAGTGTCACTCTTGGCCCTCTGGTTTTTATAATAAGCGTCAAAAGCCTTTTTTTCTTCCGGTTTCTGAAAATAAAATTCAGGAAAGAACGTCAAACTGTGCGAGTTTGATACATGAGAGAAGATGCAAATCCATTAAAATTTGGTTCTTGCAAGAATCACGATTAGGCTTGATTACCTGATTAAAGTCGCTGTCTTCAGCAAGTCCATCCGGCAGTAATGAACTGAAACAAGAAAATGACGTCAATAAAGGATTTGCTAGGTTGTTAGAGCACAGCAACCGGTCTTTAGTACTTAGCCAGGTGAAAAATTGTTGATGATACTTCAGGAAGACGCAATCATTCATATTGGAAGCGCTAAATTGTAATCTTATTCGATCTCATTTTCATAGGAAGCCTCGATTCGCTGGCCTTTCAAAGCCTTGAATTGGGACAATTAGCAAAGTACTTACTGTAGCGCGAGTAGCGTTAATGCCCACGACAGATTCACCCCCAAGGCCATACTGCACTAAACTGAATGCCAGTGGCCTGCCGCGAACCTTTTATCATGCGTCACGGCTACACCCGTTACGTCAACCGGCAAATCGCGCGCGCCTTTGTGGGAAAATGAAAGCGAAATCGGCCGCAAAGAACAATTAGGAAGTGTTAACGGAAATGTAGGACAAGTGTAACCGACTCCTTCTCAGCGAAGGAAGGAACCTAGTCAGTGGTCTATCTAACACGACCCCTAGAAAACATAGCAATGTACAATCTGAGATAGAGGAGGAGACAAAAGTCTCGGCCATTAATAAGGTGTGCCTCCTTACTACTTGCTAGGAACAATTAACTGTAAATGTAATTAAGATGCTTATCACAATCTTTTATCGTCGGCCGCTGGGTTTGACCTTTCTAGGTGTCAATCTAAACTTTGCACGCCTTAATTAAATTTTAAATGCTGAATTGTTAGTCGCAGAGAGAAATTTGATGACACAGGTGTTTGGACGCAAGTCTCTTGGGCGAGCGAGTTTCTGCAGACGACAGCGATCAAAGGGGTGCGGGTGCTAAAACGCACGCTTAGAGTAAATTGTTCTGTTGCCCATTAAAAGATGCAGCGGCGACTTAAATGGTCCGCGAGAATAACACATCGATTAAGTCTTGCCTGTTATTGGACTAAAAGAACAATATGTCAATAAAATTGTCTGAAAGCCACCGACTTACTGCATTTAACAACTTGAAAAAAGAAACGGATATTTGGAAAATTAATTGCCCGTGAACATTTTTGAGCCTTTATTATGCAGCGATGTCGAGTTCGCGAGTTCGTTTTTCATGCGTTTAGCAAATGATGTGAAAAATATTATGGCACTCGTATCCAGCCACAGGTTTAGATTTTGACCGATTTAGCCCCATTAACATTTGTACCAAAACAATTTAAAAGCGCGAAATGTAGTTAACCTGCTGCTGAGCTGAAATACGAGATCGAGGATTAGGTGGAGCAAGATAACAGTTAAAGTAAATTAGCGCAGATAATAAAAATGTCCGAATTAGTGGTAATATACAATGTGAACCAAACAAGTTACAGAATCCCACATCAATGCTGTGTTACAGCTCATCAAACTATGTCAACACAACGCCAAATAAACTAACATCCTTTTTTTGTCTTATCGAAAGCTGATATCATCTGTACGCACGTGTCGCGACCAACATTCCTTAGAAAGAAAACCTACCTACGAATCTTCCATTGACGGTTCTTGAATAAGCTACATTAATGTGACAGTTTACAATTTTGTCAGTGACTAGAAATGATACATTTCGGAAAGTAGAGCATTACAAATCTCCAGGCGGCTTCTCTTATGAGCTCTAAAAAGGTGACAATCTCTATTTCCTTCCAAGCACTTGGAGAGCTCCTTGGGACCGGCCGAAAAATCTAAAACCTGTACAAAACACCTTGAAGAATTTCCCCTAAACAGAAATGTTTCCAAGGGGGCTGTTTATTAGTTTTTTTTGGCAGTGGTGTCCGTCACAAAGAACCGCGTAGTGTATTAAAGGAAACCACTCCAAAGTAATGACGTTACAAGGAAGTTTGACGAATTTCAAGTTGACCATAGATGATGTCCGTGAGTCATTTGTTAAGACGATAACTTGTGCGTCTTTATTACTGTACTATTAATTGAGCTGGATGATTGCGGTGTTCTTCAAATTCAAGGTAACGGACGGTTTGATTCACAAAGATCAAAGGATCTGGTTGAGATTGTAAATAAAGCGGTGAGACACTGTTAAAAAATTAATTGGATATTGAGTGGCAAGGGTTTTTATCTCAGTGAAGCTATAATCAAAGAAAAGGGCGTGAGCTGTTATCTTAAAAGAAATTTTAATCTTGAAACTTGATTTTAAAAGCTTATCTTCGCAAAAATACCTTTTGCAATCGATCTTGCTGCATAAGTAATTGAGAAATTACAGGACTCCTCTGTCCTCCTTGATTCACTGGATTTTCCCATGCTGAATTAAGGCAACAGATTATCTGAGAGATAGTACATCAAAGGAGGATAGAGGAGAGGCAAAGGGCCATGTTGGTGTCTAGTATGCTTGGCGACTTCAACTTCTCACTTGCGAAACTACTTTGAAATTAGATAGCGGTATAGGTCTCCCTGCCTTAGTGGTCTTATTTGTGGGTCTTTGGAAAGAGAATAACGCCCTCGTAAACACTGTCCTTTCTTATATTAATGGACATGAAGTAAAGAACTCATTTAGAACAAGTTCCTCTTTAATGCCGGCGTGGTATTACATACAGACGTTTTACCGTTAACGTTATTTGTAACAGTGAAGTGCATTAATTTCCGATCCCCTAACGTTCATATGAAGCTGACGGAACTTACGGTTTTTTTTGGACTTCAGCTGATTCCAGCCTTTTTGCTCGTCAAATAGTAGGCGTATTTCGATATTTCCGCTCTGGTAGTGAGCTTTCACCGGTTACCACATATCGATGACTTCGTTGATATGGGAGATTTCCGATAGGGTTAGAGGCCAACTCGTCGTCTAAGGACGTATACGATTTTCATCATAAACTATCATGTGTTTTCTGAGCCATATACCTCCAAGACCCCTCGACAAATTTCGCAAGAGATCGTGTAATGACAGAACTTTCTGAACACACTGTGTTCAGCCTCAAGGTCAATTGATACATGGTGTAAGGTTGTTAGATCACAATCCATATTAATTACTCGCATTTTGGTTTCACAGCAGGAACCCATTGTGCTTCTTGGAGGGTCAATTGCGTAGTTTTGTGCAAGAAAAAACTTGCTTCTTCGGCAGACTTTGGGCGCCAAACTCTAAGTGTAGTTTGAGCTACGACGTATATGGTTACACGAAAATTCTTTCGCGATTAAATGTCGACGAGCTTGCATGAAATCATAAATAACTCACAGACGTTTTCGAGGTCCCCTTAAAGTTCGCATCGCAAAGCTTAATGAGATAAACAAAGTTGTGAATCGTTTTGACTAGCTCAGAATTCTTAGGCCCAGAGATATCAATGATTTGTAAAACATTAATGTCAGTCTTTTGGAAACTAATACTGGCTGTTGATATCCAGTTCCAGCCGTTACATTTAATTATTTATAGTGGGCCAAGTTTGGGTGAAAGTATCATCTAAAGAAATCTAAGTTTTGGTTTGATTTTTGATGCACAGCTGATCAGATTTTCCACAAAAAATTATGAACCAGATGATTTTTTATAAACAATGATGGCAGCATTGTGGGGGCGTGCCTTGCTTTTGAATTGCATCAGTCTGCATGAACATAACATAATACCTTGATAACAAAGATCATGAGGGCTAGTCACTGCTGAAACTGATAAAATAGCTGTCGCGAATAAGCAGCTGATAATTTCATTCAAAAGCTTCATCTATCGATAAAGATACATAAATACAAACCCACATTGTTTATAATGGATACCAGAAATATATGGGAGGATCTTAGACCCGCCATTCCTTTTGAGTCATTTTTCCTGAATCTTTACTGGGATCTCGGAATCTCTCTGCATTGAGTATTCCTTTAAATGTCACTTTTAACCACAAAGTGATTACGAGATTGAGTTGACTTGTTCTCCTTGTTTGTGAGAACAAGATCTTATCATTTTATAACCCTTGAGGAAGGACAATTTATATAACTTTAGAGAATACTCATTTTCAAGTTAGCTAAAAAAAAAAAAACAAACAAAACCAAAAATGGCGTGACTTAAATGTTTGGGAATTTCATTGTAAACTTTAAAGAGAGAGTTTGAACTACTTTATCAATCCAGATAATTCCACTTTTTACTTAAATGGCATTGAAACAGTATTTTGTAAGAGGAAAATAATTTTATCGATTGGAATCTATTAAAATTAGGATTCAACAATGCAGGAAATTTACTGCGCATCAGGCGGGACACCTGTTCCTGGTTGGAGCCAGGATTCTATGGAGCTGACAATCGTGTTCAGTACAAATTAGCCAAAGATAGGGAACATAAGACTGTGACGGAGGAATTCCTAGGCGTATTTGGAGAATTCCATTGCGCATGATCCGTGTTTTTATTGGAAAGCGGCCAAAGCTGTTCGCAACAATGGATTTCAGATGATTTCTTTCTGTCAATTTCAATTACGAATTCCTCAAGAAGAAATTTATTAACGATCAAATAGTATTAAATCCTTCCTTTTGGGATCTGATGGGGAAATTAGTGAGACCTCCACTTCAGTTATGATCGATCTTTTGCCGGATCCTTTGCAGTTGTCTGTGTTGATTTAATCTGGTAAATAAGTCTGAAGAAGTAACCGCGTTTTAAGACAGAAAAAAGGTAATAGAGGTGGTCCAACTGTTGCTAAGATCATAAAACCTTTAATAGTATTAAAGCATTTACAAATAGTTTTAAAATTCTTTACAGAGTCTTCGCTGCAAAGGAGATTACACAGGTTGTCACAAACACGACGAGGTATGAGTAGCTTGAATGATAATGTTATCCAATCGCTAAATTTTACGTAGAGAATGGTAGAACTCGTTGTACTTCCCGTATATATGTAAAAGATGCGTTCATTTCATCTCGTTTGACGCATTTCCGGGAGTTTGACTCAAGTTTAGGGGGCTGAGTGGAAGAACTCGAACATCATTCGACACGATTACTACTTTGAAGATAATTATAGACTGTATTAAATAAACATGCTTGAATTTTAGGGGATTATAGTAAGATAAATTGGGAGCGGAAAGCTCCTCTTGGGTCAGATTATTTCGAGACCATGAAAGAACGCATCGTCATTATTGCACACCGCATTTAGCACCGTACGTGAGCTAAGAGCTGTTATCTTGGCAACAACTTCCTTTCTAGACTGCAGACATAATCATTTTTCTCTATGAAGTAAAAATAATATTTCCAGTTTCCTATTGCACCTGTAAATAGAATTTCGGCTTCGAATACCTTCCTCTATAAATTTCGTGCCGTCACGTTTCTGTCGGAGACCTCAGTTATTTTGCGGTCAGCGAGGTATTTCTTAATAAGTTT